TTAAAGTGCAAATATCACTTTAATAGGACCATATCATTTCCTTTGGCTATTCACTCAGGAATAGCCCATGACATTACAACCTAGGATTCTCCTTCACAGGCACAAAAAACACACATTTGAGGAAGCACAGCCTCTTCAGTAAATGGTGCTGGGAAAACTGAGAATTTATATGCAAAATATTTAATTTTTTTCTTTTTTTCCAACCCTATATAAAAAACCAAAATGGATCAAAGATTTAAATATAAGATCTGAAACTACAAAACTACCAGATGAAAACATAGTTGACACACTCCAAGACAACAATATAGGTAACATTTTGGATAAAAATGTAGAGGCACAGGAAAGACAATTGAAACTATTCAAATGGGATTATATCAAATGAAGATCCTTCTACACATAAAGGAAACAACACAGTGAAGAGAAAATGTACAGAATAGGAAAAATCTTTAGTAAACCACTCATCTGACAAACCATTGAAATCTAGAATACACAAGGAACTAAGAAAAATTTTATAGCAAAATAATCCAATTTAAAATAGAAAAATAATATGACTAGATGCTTTTCAAAAGAAATCCACGTGACCTACAAATTTATGAGAAATGCTCAGAATCCTTAGCTATTAGGGAAATACAAATCAAAATCACAATGAGACATCATGTCACCTCTGTTACAATAGCTATTATCGAAGTGACAAAGAATAACAAACATATCCTGGTGAAAATGTGGATGAAAGGAACTCATACACTATTGATGAGAAAGTAAATTAGTATGGCCATTATGGAAAATGATGTGAATCTTTCTCAAAAAATTAAAAATAGAAATACAATATAATCCTGAAACCCCATTGCTAAGCATATATCTAAGGGAAGTACACTAAAGTGACATCTGAATTTCCATGTTTATTGCTGTACTATTACCAACAGCTAAAAACTAGAAATAACCTAAGTGTCCATGAACAGATGAATGGATTAAGACAATGCAATATATTTATATAAAATGGGATACTCTTCATCCATAAAAATAATGAAAACTCGTCTTTTGTGGCAACATGGGTAGAATTGGAGGTCATTATGTTAAATGAAATAAGCCAAGTTCTATAATAAATGTACCACATAATCTCACTCATATTGATTCTGAAAAAGTTGATCCAATTCTCTTACAATTCCTCTCTTCTTTAATGTAGAATTTTATTATGCGAATTACAACATATGAATCCATTAAGTTTGGCATATTTAAGCTATTGTTCAATATAAACCCACCCCTGTCAGCCTTTTTCTGACAGAAAAATATTTTGACTGGGTTTTAAATTTTCAACAACTACTAATTACATTTTCATAAATAATTTTAAAGCAAATTTAAATTTATGAAATTTAATTAAAAATGTGTTATAAATTATGTTTCTAAATTCATAAGAAAAAACTTATTTCCTATATAAGGATTGGATAGAAAGATTGGGAATCAATAAACTGAAGTAAATTACTTATGAAATTAAATAATATGTCATCATATAAGGATATCCTAAGTTAATTCATGTGTTTTTCTTTAATCTATTCATGAAATTAGTTGTTAAATATGTGCTCAAATATTGATGATTGACAGGTAATTTTCTGTGACTCAGATGTTAAGAATACACTTTCTGCCATTTTGGGTTATATAGACTTTGTGTTACAAGTTTTCAAATCTAAGAGGCAAATTGCAATAGGTGATCATTAACCATTCTGGTATATTGCAAAGTAGATAAAGAATCTTATGGAAAAATAAAGTATGCTTTGAGTAACTAGTATATAACATGTTTATATATTTCTTTAAAAAGTGGTATAATTGGGCTGGGGTCTAGCTCAGTGGCATCATGCCTGCCTCACAAGTGCAAGGTCCTGAGTTTGATCCCCTGCACCAAAAAAAAAAAAAAAAAAAAAGTTATAATCATTTTGATGCTTTATTGTTACAAGAGCAAGGTTTTTGAAAAATAGAAATTTAAATTTACCTTCTAATTTTGAGATCAATCAAAATTGAGTATCTGGGAAATAAGCTACATTTTACAGCTTTTTAATTTATACATACAGGAAGAGAATTGTATGTCTTGTTAAATTTCAAATTCTTAGGAGATTTCTTAAAATATAGAGTAAAACAGTCCATCAGTTCAATAGCTACTTCAATCATTTTTTGAAAACTATATCTGCATCCATAGCAAAGGAATTTTATTATCTTTGAATTACAAGGTGTAATGTCATGAATTGCTGCATAGAAAAAAGTTTGTTAAGTGAGCACTGGCAGTGAGTGCCCTTAGTGCTTTGCTCTTAAACTCAAGTACAAGTCAGCTCTGCTTAAGTCACCATTTGCAGAAGCCAGAAGTGAATGTACAGTTAAAATGGTGCCATAAGTTAATTAGAGTGGAATTAGAAGGAAAGTGGGCAATTTAGGAACATAAGAATTGCTGTACTGAATCAGACCAATGGTTCTCCTGGTTTAATATCCAGCCTCCAGCAGCTGTACTTGTTAGTTTCCACAGTTTTAAAAGAAAAGAAAAAGACTACATGATTCTCCTAGACAAGTGTGCCATCTGTGACATGGAGAAATTTTCTTCTTGACCTCTCTCAAATAACACCCTAAAGCAGGGGCTTTCAACCCTAGCATGATATTAGTTTAGCTTGGATAGCTCTGGTTATTAATAATCCTTATTAAATCATCCAATTCCCACATAAAATCAACTTGTCCATCAGGAAGCTATTTATCTCTAAAGCTCCTGAATCCTAAATTCATGGTTGAGTATGCCTGATTCTAGGAGAAAATATGAATTCATGATGCTTATTTGATAGAAGTTCTTGATGACAAAATTGCCTGCAGATAACCACATTGCATAAATTTCTGGTTTTGTTTCCAAAGTCATCTGTGTTGAGAGACTTTTGCCAACCCGTCTCCAACCCCCTAATCCTCTCAAAATCTCTAACTCTCAAATTTCTATTTATTAGTAATAAATTTCTATTTATTAGTAACATATAGATGCTATATGAATGAAGAATTTTGTGTGCCAAACTTTTAGAAAAGTTCAACTGGAATTTTTAAGGTGGAATGAAACTAAGATATGGATTAGTAATCTTTATTATTTCAATCTTCTGTCTATGATAGAAGTACCTGCAACTAACTATAGGCTTTTAAATTTATTCTAAATATTACTTCAGCTCAATATTTCTAGAATAGTGCATTCACACACACACACACACAGAGACACACACACACACACACAAAATCCCTTATGAATAGTAAATTCATCCAAGATAAAGTTTTAGTCATTTTTCTGATTTGTCATATTTTAATGTAATCACACTTGTATCCTAAACTTTTAACTCTAATAATATTTCCTTCTGGCTTAGAGTGAAAAATACTAGGTTTTTCATCATTTAAGCCAAGCAGATTTTCTTCAACTGTTTGCTTGCTTCCTTGCTTGCTTGTTTTCTAAGACAGGGTCTCACTCTCTCTTCCAGGCTGGCATTGAACTCACTTTATAATCTGGCTGGCCTCTGGAACTACAGATAATCCTGCTTCTGCCCTTCAAATGCCAGGATTACAAACCTGACCCATCATGCTTTGAATTCCTTATTTAATTATAGGTTAATTTTGTTCCCTTTTCCAAGCCTTCTTCATTTGACTTTCTGAATAAGTTTCTACTTTCTTCTCCTTACTTCTACCAGAATCCTATTCCTCTATGTAATTTCATTTCAAGCATGCAATGATTGCTACCTCTTCTGAAAATGTGTTTCCCTTTGTTTAGAATTGGTTTAGGATACCTTGCATCATTAGTTCTTTCTTTCCATAGGTGTTTTTGCTTATAAATTAGCTGAGAAAAATTATATCTTTGACATTGATAGCCTAGATTAATATCAAACTCACAGCAAAAATAACAAAGATATATTAATGAGCAATCTATAAATCTGCAAGTGATTAACTACTTAGAGCCACTTTAAAAAATCTTGGGGTTTCCATTTATGTGACTTTAATAATGGTATTTATTGAGAGCTACACAGATGTAATAAACATGAAAATGCAAATATCTAAAAATAGAGTCAGGGCTGAGGATTTAGCTTAGTGGTTTTGCTGCCTGCTGTGCAAGCACAAGGACCCGAGTTAGATCCCCGGTACCAAAAAATAAAAAAAATAAAAATAAAAAGAGTCAACTCTTATTTACTAAACATCACAAGTATAAATATGGCAAATACTAGTAAAAAGATCATGTAAATTTTTTGAACCAGTTTGGACCTATGAGATTGTGAAATAAAGGAATTCCAAGCAAAAATAATAATTGAAACAAAGGCAAGGAAGTGAAATAGAGGTGGAATTACACAGAATAGATCCTAATTTTTACTGGGTGTTTTATGAAGAGAATGCTTGAAAATAAATTCATAAGGGTGGCATACATTATCTCATTTAATAATCTGAATCCAAGTGAAAATCATTTAAAGAAGTTTTGATTAGTGATATCTAAGAAAATATAAGATGATATTATCAGGGTGGTACAGCAATAATGAGGTCATTACATAAGGAAATGGGGGGAGTCAGTCTCAATCTGAGGCAATATTGCTAAGAAGGAATGGGAAAAAAGATATCAGGCATGTTGACTAGATAGTGTAAATATTTATTGTGAAAATGTTGAGTCTGTTATAAGGAAGAGTGGGAACAAATTAACACTGGCCTTTTCAGTATGCTTAGTTGTAAATCATGGAATATTTACTGAAATTAAAAAATATTTTATCTCCTTGTATGTTACACAGAAATGCATGCAATAATTTTGTCTTTAAATTTTAATTCCTACAATTTTGTTTTTACCAACAGGGTGCTTCAAGGTACTAAAATAGTCAATCCAGTTCATTTGACTGACATCATCAAAATAGATCCACATATTTTTCTGATTGCTTAAAATTTCTTGCTAATAATTTTAGAGAACAATATTCTTTTATATAACAATGATTTCAAATCAGTGATAATCTTTCTATTCAATTATTCAGACACCCAAATGGTACCCAGAGAAATAGCACAGGATGGCCGGTCTTCAAAAGCACTGAACAAAAATACCTGACCTTGAACACAGGATCATCCAGTATACACGCTAAACTACGTGCTCAACAGTGCCAATTTTGGACACTATTTTTCCCCAGAGTCTTGGAAATGACAGGTGTGTGTGTGGTTATTTTGGGTTTTTTTTTTTTAACATTTAAAACAATAGATTATGGAAGATAGAAAAGAGAAAAAGGCAGACTATTCAAGACATTATCTGAGTGATGTTAAAATACATATTTGTTGACATTACATTACTTGATTCTAAAGAGTACATTATTTTTATTTCATTTTATTTTTATTAGTACATGTTCGCAGTTCACCTTCATTGTGTGGAGTTGGTATATGTATATAACACATCTTAATTCCTTTTTTATCCCTTTTCCCTCCTCTTCCTCCTTCCTCCTTCCATCTTCTGATCTCCTCCCCTTTTGAGAAAAATCTATCCCCCTACTTCCTATCATCTTTATTACACTATTTTAACAACTTTCTTCCAGCAAGTTTAGATATGTTGTTAATATAGGAGTGGTACTTTAGCAGCTAAATTTTAAAAAATGAAATATACACTTTATCCAGGAGGAAAAGAAATCTATATGGTACCCTACTTATTATTCAGCTAATCTTTGTGGAGTTAATGGATAAATGAATAAATATATGAAATAATACATAAAACTATGGAATAAGTATTCAAAAATAAGTAAAAAGAAACAGTCATAACTAGCAAAATTCTTGGTCTGTATGGAAAGAGGAGCTCCATAATGTATATATTTAAAAATACAATATAAATATTTCTAAGTACTCTGAGTTTGGAGACATTTAACTAAGAACATACAGATATTGGGCGGGGTTTTAGCTCAGTGACATCGAGATTGCCTTGCAAATGCAAGGTCGTGAGTTCTATCCCCAGTACCAAAACAAAACAAAACAAAACAGGTATTTATGAAATACATAGCATACATAAAATTTAGTTAGATAATATTCAAATGTGATTTTTTAAAATTATATGAGGAGACAATGGAAAATTGGTTCAGATTATCATATAATTTCAATATTCACAACTTTCATCAACTTTAGTATTCAAACATGTATCAACGTACATCATATTACTTTGCTGTTCTCTGAGAAAAGTAACATATATATCAACTCAATGCCTAATTTTAAAATAGCCAGTTATTTATTCTGGTTCCTCGTGTCTATTTTCAACTTTTCTTTTTCAAATAAATATAATTGACTCAACCGTCAGGCTTATTGCTGGCCAGTTCTGCCATTTTTACCATCACAGCATTCTGTGATTTTCTGACTACATATTAGATAACACAACATAACGTAGGTTTTTGATTTCTTGTTTACAGAATATGGGTATTACTTTCAGATAAATACAAGGGTCTTGGAGATGCATTACATTATTCAATATGCCCTTTGTTATCAGAAATTACTCACCAAACATATAATTGTGTACTCCATTTGTTTGGGAGCTGCTTCTGGTATACCAGTGCTCTATGTATTGCCAAATGTTCTGTGACATAATATATATCTAGAAATGGGTCTCTGCTTCCTTTGGCAGAGCAACAGTGCAGTCTTTGTATTTTCTGAGTGTGAATAACAATGAGCTAACTCACTTAATCTGGCAAGATGCCCAAAGAGATGCCATTTAACATATCCCAGACTGCATATTCTTAGTCTGTATTTAAAATATTTTTAAGTAGGAAGGTCCTAATTTGAAGGAAGATAAATAAAGGACGAGAAAACTGATTGTTTTTAACGACTTACTCATTTTAAGCCAAACAGCCCTTTTGATTCTAACACAAATTATCTATGGCAATTTATTTCTCAATAAAATTGAATTTGAATATTAAAATTGTGGAATGCAGGTTTCAAAAATCTCTACCATCAAAACTTATCTGACATAAACAGGTTGATCAAATAAACTGCAAAGTTTTGGGCCAGCTGCTGCTATTTCAGATAATGCTTCACTACTTTCTAATATTTCTGAATATTGAGCTCTACAGAAAAACCACAACTTGCTCTGCTCTAAGACTATGAATGCCAAGGTTAGTTCTGATGTGGCTTGAAAACATTATTTTGTATTGGAGTGCTATTTCTCTTTCAAATAATTCCCACTCCAAAAGGTTTTCATAGTAAATATATTTTATATATTTTTAAATAAATGCAAGGTAAGATTATTGTAAACATGCATTCATTAACAAAATACTGTTAAAATTTAAACAAACTAGTCTGAATTTATGTGTTTATACATAAGATTGGGTGGCAAAATAGATTAAGAACATATTGTGCTATACATTATATTTCTCACATCACAAACTTTTTACTATTTTAATCTTTAAAGTTTTAAAAACTGGTGGTACTCAGATGACTTGGGGTAAAATTTGTAAGATTTTTGTTTTTAAGGTGGCTCTACAAATGAAGGAAAGTTTCAAAAATTACTCCTAACTGACTTTTTAAAAATTGAAATGTTTATTTTACTTAAGATAGAACCACAATAAACTGCAATAAGTACTACTTAAGCATAGTTTACTTTGGGGAAATAAAAGTTTTAAAATATAATGTTTCTTAAGACTAATTTAAACAGATCAATTCCACACCTTCACTTCTGATCTATTCTTTAGGCTCATGTTCATGCTGTTGTTGCATGCACCTACAATAAATAAAATGGAAAGTACTTATTTAAAACATTATAATGTTGAGATTTCCACAAGAATGTCTCAACATACTTCTTTGAAAAAGAAAGAGAAGTAGATAAATGACTCATTAATTGTCATCAATGATCTCAACTTTTTTCACTAAAAATGAAAGAGAACTGGGTGTAGTGACACAAGCCTGTAATCCTAGCACTTGAGAGGCTGAGGCAGGAGGACTGCTGGGAGTTTGAGCCCAGCCTGGGGTACATAGTCAGTGCAAGGTCATCCTGAACTACATAGTGAGAACTTACATAAAAAATAAAACAAAAAATCGAGAAAAAAATGAAAAAGTACATTCATTTAAAGAAATTATTTGACTTTCATATAGTCCCAAGAAAGAAAAACATTAAATACAGTGGTTCCTCCACTGATCTTTAAATAAATAACACAACATTATAGCTTACCAAAACTGAAGAAAACCAAGTATAAATTTAAGAACTCAGGTACTCTTTGAGTTGACCACTTTGTAGAATAATTTGCTATTATTTCACAATTTATTAACAACAGTGAGTATTAAAGATGAGAAAGTAGAAAGATGATTTGGAAAAAATGAAATTAATTTTATTATCTTAATATCTCTGTATTTTATATCCATCATTAAAAGAAAAACAAAACAAACAGAAAGCTTTGGGTAACCTGATTATTAAATCAAATCAACAATTTATTTTACTTTAACAGTAGATGAAGTTTTCACAATGCTGAGCCTGAGTTTAAAGTAATTCCCTCTACCATCTCACTCTCCACTCAAATTATAACAGGAAAATTAATAAGATTATGATCTACCACATAAAGAATTATGCTTTCCCTGATCATTTTTGTAACTGATTGTATTAGTTCCTTTCTTGTCACTGGGACAAAATACCAGACACTAACAATTTAAAGTAGAAGAGCTTTATTTTGGCTTCAGGTTTCAGAGAGTTCAGTCAATGGTTAACTGGCTCCAAGGAAGAAATGGCATCGCGAAAGACCTGGCAGAGGAAAGCTCTTAATACCTGACAGCCAGAAAGCAGAGATCAAAGGACAAGGTCAAAAGTTACACTCTTGGTCCACCTTCTTCATCCCATCCTCCTAATAGCACATTCAATTATAAGTTCACCAATGATGAGTTCATGGCCTGGTAATCCAATCTCCCTCGAAAAACTACATTTCTGAACACATGAGACTTTTGGAGAAAGTTTTAAATCTAAACCATAAAACTGGTCAGTGACAGGAAAATTGGCATGTGATGGGAGACAGAACAGATAGTGTCCACAGAGACATGAATTATGGTGAATTATGGTGTTTTTAAATTCTGATGCTTTGGATAATTAAATATCAGTTTCATCTAATCATTCTTAACTTTACCTCCATTAGCAATTTTAGTCCTGTTCAACTTACTGTTTTCTTTCCTATGGCCCTCTTAAAATTCATATATTGAAATCCTAACTCCCAAAGTAATGATATTAGGATATTGTTAAAGCCAACAGAGAAAGATTTTTTTAGGGGAGAGAGGTGACTTGTGGGAGGAAAGCATTGCTTTTGAAATCAATCTTTCAAACGACATTAACTAATTCAAAAACACATAAATGGTTATTTAATGAAATAAAAAAGAAATTATCCTAATATCATTACCCATGAAACTATAAAACTAAAAAGAAAATAATTTCTAAACAATTAATATTTGTGGTGGGTTTAACTGAATTATTTGTCCTCAGCCATTAACAGTTATCTAATTTCTCAAGATGTTTTAGGACATATTATCACATGTATAACAAGATACTTGATAGAAATATGATTTCTCTTTCATTTTCTAATCAATGAATTGGATAAGTCTTTATAGAGCTTATCCTCTTCTGTTCTTCTAGGAACTGCTTTACCAGCTAGAGCTACACAAATAAAATTGAGTGTGCTCACTCACAGAGAGGTGGTGTGGTCAGGGTCCAGGATCATGGAAAGCTTTTAAGAAAAGGAAACTGCACTGACTCTTAATGAGAAGGCAAGTGGAAAGAAATCAGATAAGCAGATCCCAGAGATAAAGTGTCTCATGTGTTATACTAAGGAATTTAAATTCTCTCTTAAGCGAAGCCATTTGGTAATTTTAAATGAGTCTGACATGTTCTAGTTATTGATTCGTGAATGTAATAGCTTTCACTGCACAAAAGAGTTTTTATGTCTAGTTGCCTTAGAGTTTGTGGAAATATTCTATGGCATGGAAAAAATAATTTCCCTTGTGAAGTAATATCTTTCATTGAAATAGTTACTTTTGCTTCCTAGTTTGTATCAAGAATATGCTAGCTTCTCATTTTCATTTTATTTGTATTTTATATTTTATATATATTTTATTTGTTATTTAAAAAGATTCCTCAAAGGCTTTTTAGGGTTAGGGTTAGGGTTTTTATCATTTAATAGTATTGAGCAGTATTTTACCTTTAAATTTAGGGTTAACCCTTCATTTTCCTTTTATATATTCTGCATATTTCTTTGTTTCTCTCTGAGTCATTCAAACCATTATTACTTTTTGTCTCTCACAAGAAATATTTCCACATATGGAATAATGAGTGATGTTGCTATCATTAATTATACTTGCGGACTTTTAGATGCCACTAAGCATGAAAAGAAACATTTTAGAGTGGGCTATTCTTCCTTGATGACTGAATTCATACAAAATTTAATCTGATGCCATTAGCAATTAGAACTTTGAGTTAAGATTACAATTTAGAAAAACAGGGACTGACAAAATTTGGATTTGTGATAAGAATGCAACCTATGAAAATTCACATTTTTTGAGCATTATGACTTTCTTCTAGGATATAATTAATCAACTATAGGGCAAACACATTGCCTAGTTTAATGGTCTCCCTTTCCTCAAATGTTAATTAAATTAAATATTTCTAATCAAATTTAATACTGTTTGTAATGTGTCACTCTATTTTATTAAGTTAGATGGTTTTATCACTGATTGCTGATATAGATAGTAAGGGAAACACTGTCTCCAGACTAAATAAGCTAATATAAATGGAAAAGAAAGAAAATAGGAGAAGGAGAAAAAGAAAGGCAAGCAAAAATCTAAATTTGGTTTTGAGTCATTTCAGACTTCTCAAAACTTTGTTATCATTTACTCATTTCTTCTGGATTTTATTAGAAAATAAATAAATGTCTCACATTTTATTGTATCAATCAGTACCTACTGCTTTTTTTTTTTTGGTACCGGAGATTGAACTCAGGACCTTGCACTTGCAAGGCAGATGCAGTGCCACTGAACTAAATCCCCAGCCAAGTACTTACTACTTTTTAAAGGAAAGTGTTCAGATTTTACAGAGCATTTGTGTGCTAAAAAGTTTTTCAAAAGAATAAATTATACAGATATTTGATTATCTATAAAATAAATTTGCATTTGTATGAATCAGTAGATTTGGCACTATTCTGTGAACAAGAAAAGCAAATCAGATATAAAATACATTCTATAAATATTAAAATTCATGGTCCAAATGCTAAATTACCAATAACATATTTGTTCTATCAAAAATTTTATTATTATTTAACTTTAGAGTCCTTATTTTGTGTGAAATTTAAAACAGCACTTAATTATCACTTAAAAAGAGCACAAAGGTAATAATTTGTTATATTTAACATCTTTATTCCTCAGTGCTTTTAGAAAGTTGTATTATTCATAAAAAGTTACAGTCCTTGACCTTTTAAAGGCCATTTTACATGAAAATAGGATGTTTAATATAAATTATCAAGTATTTGTCCAAAGTGCAAGCATTATAAACATTTCAAGCCTAAATATATCTTGAATTATAAGGAATACTTTAATAGTTATAGAAGTGTTTTAAACAATTTGATATTCATATAATTTAAATTGGATCACTACATCATCTTTTTCAAATTAATCTCCTACAATTATCTCTTAGTTTTAAAAATTCTTAACTAAAAAGTATATAACTCAAACTTTTGCCACCTCCTATTTTCAGGCAGATGCTGCACTGTTAAGCTGCTTTCCTGGCTTCCAGCTGCTATTTTCAAAATTCTTGAAAAATTAAATTTTGTTTTTAGTTTAATGATGATAACTCAGTGCCTTAAATAATTGAAAGGTAAAAGAGTTATAAATGTATGAAATGCTCATAGATTTAAATGATTTGAATCATGTAATCTCATATCTGCTTATATAAGAAACTTAAGTATGTGATTTAAATTCATAATTTTAGGGTTTCTAATGTTGACTTTAATATACTTTCAAATATATGATTTCAAAGTTCTTGAAGTACATCAAACTCTCTTTTAGGTCACTGCCTCACAATTTTTCTTGCTAAAAATTACTTTCCGCTAATGCATACATATTTGCAAATTACTTGACAGTACAGAAGATCTGACTCATCTTTCTCTTTTATACAGCAATTATTAAACTGCTTCCAAATGATAGGCAGCTGAAACAACTAAAACATTGTTTATAATTAACATGTGCTATGAGTCCAGGATATATGGAATTTTTGTGTATTAAAATATACACATATAACCATTTTATGAAAATAGTACTATGCTATATAATTACATATATATTAATTATGTACACACATGCACATGTGCACACACACACACATACAAACACAAATGACATGCAACACAAAAGATTTTTTGTTTTGTTGAAATGAGTCAGGAGTTTGAGTGCACCCTGAATTGTGAGCCCAATAGGAATAAGTCTCTAAATACCAAAAAGAAAAGAGTCAGTTAATGAGAGTAATATCTATATATATTTGTGAGAACTAAAGAAAATAAACATAATATAATATAATCCATAAAGTCATTTTTTCATTTAATGTATTTTAATATTCACATACAGTTCATACATATCTTTTTTGGATTTGGATATAATGTTTAGAAATTTATTGAGGTTTTCAGGTAGAAATCAAAGATGATAAATTAATAAAGAATAAAAATTGCTGTGCAGTGTACTTGGAGAAAATGGCATCAGTAAACAAAATTATTTTCAATTAATGTAAACAGATTAAAGTTTAGATTAATGCAGCTTATTCCATGTTTTATAGGAAATATTGATGAAGTCGAACAAGAGTGGAAAGCAGGATTCTATCGCTGGAACAATTACATGATGGACTGGAAAAATCAATTTAACGATTACACTAGCAAGAAAGAAAGCTGTATGGGTCTCTAATTAATAGATTTGCCCTTTATATAGGATGTTCATTTTCTTGTAGATGAAGTTAAAAATATTAGTAACTCTCTATACACCTTCAAAGAAAGCTATTATATAGCTGTAACAAAAATGCCAGAAGGTTAATGTTGATTCCACAAATTTTTCATTTAATATTTTACCTAACATTTCAAAACCCAAACAGCTAGAACATGTTTAATTAAATTTCACAATATAAAGTTTGACAATTAATTATATGCATACTAAAATGATGTGTTGCTTCTATCTCTTTCTTGAATACTTTTAACTTTTTTCGCTAAAATGTATATATTCTCTTCTTAGTTACATATGTATTTTGATTACTAGTCATATAAAAGTATCTTTTTAAAATGAACTAAATCTTGAAACACTGGATCCTATACTCTACAATATTATTTCTTCTAATTAACATCAATTTAACATCAATATGTGATATTAAAATACACACAAGAATAATAATCCATTTTGTTTTTATGTAAAGGCAAGAGAGAATATTAAAATAAGAGGCTCAGTCTCCAGGAAATATCTTATAATGGAAACTGCTGCTAACAGACACAATCAAGGAATTTCTGTATAAATTCAAAAACAAATTTACTGGTTTTCCAAGGTGGGAAAATTAGTTCAAAAGATCATTGTGTATAAGTAGGGCTTGTCACATGAAATGGGATACAGGTGTTTTACACACATTAGTTATGTTTTCTTAATTATTGATCTCACAAAGTATATTTTCAAGGATCTTTAATGCTATTGAAAAGACATAGCCCTGTGTCATATAGCAGAGGATCCTGTATCAAAACAAGACTAAAGTTATTCAGATAAACATATTGTAACCCCGAAAAGATGGCCTTTGACACCTTGACTGTAACGTAAAATGAAAAGCTTGAGAATTTGTTCACCCTTTGTGTGTTTGTTCCTTGTTAGAAGAGGAAAGAACTATAAAGCAAAAATGCCCATTTATGAGTAGCACTTATCAAAACTGACTTGGCTTTTATCACAACTATCTCTAAAGTACCATGAACTCTCAGAGACTCTGAGTGATGATCATTTGAAAGGATGTTTAGATATAGGAGTCTAACTCAGGGACCTCAATGCCAAGAGAAAAATGTGTACGAAGAAACAGAAATCAGTGTATCAGACTTCTTATAAATTTCCACTTCAATGGGCTCATAAGTGAAAAAAAAATTTTGTCAGTTAAAATATTGACAATGTGCAAATATTAAAATCTCAGAACAGCATAAGGTCTTCAGAGGGCAGAGTATGGAGAGATAGAATTATGGCCTAAATATGAAAAGCCATGTGAGCTATTATTTAATTTTGATAAAATGTTTTAGTACATGTCTCAAAGCTATAACAGGTAATTGTGTCCAAAGTTCGAACAAAATGAGTACAATAAATCCAAGTACTGTGAGGAAATTAGCTCCATCAATTTTTAACATAGTGAAAAATAGTTATATTTGAAGGTTTATTATTGAAAATATGAGTTAAATTAACAAATCATTTACCTTAAAAATACCATTATAAGTAGTTTTAATTTTTCCTAAACTTGGCTGCTGAATATTATAAGCACAAAGAACAAAATTTTTAACATAAAACAATTTTTAGCTAATGTGAAACAAAATTTCATAAGTATCTTCACATAATTTCAGCTATGACCAGTTCAGCACAATGTGCTAATAAAGAACTCTGTACATTGACAAAGAAACTGATTGGTGGAGTTGCCTGTTTCACTGTATTCATAGTGAAGTCAACAAAAATGTCTCTTAATGAAAAGTTTGTTTTAAAATGAAGATATTTATCAGGAAGAAATTTAAATTTTTTGATTAAATTTATATAAGATAATTATAAACTCAAAGTACCATTTCTCAGTGTCTGTCAAAAAACAAAGATCATTGGGTTTAGAAATATTTACACAAATACATGTGTACTTACATATGTTTATACATGCAGGAGTCTATTAATGTCTAGGCTGGGGTGATACTAAATAAATTCACTAAGTACCTCCATGAAGAAGAAAAATCAGAGTAAAAGAAAAGGAGAATATATGACAGTCATACAATAATTTAATCTAATTATGTATTCAAAATAATGTGAAAGTATAAAATATATTTTATAAATATGGCACAGATTTATTATACAGTGGTATCTCAGTACATGAACTTAATTCAGTCCACTATTCTGGTCATGAACCAAATCAAATTTCCCCATAACATTCAATATCACCTGATGCAGAGTTCTTGAACTGAAACAAAATTATGCCAAAGGCTTCTGTTTGCTAACTGAATTGTTCACTAACAGAAGTGTTTGTTAGCCAAGGTGCCACTGTAATTATAAAAATACATAATTAATTCATAATGTATATTATAAGGGTCAGTTGTGATAAAACACAACAGTCATTTTGGATATTAATATGTGCTGTTATAGCCAGGAAAGAAAGTATAGGTCTTTGATCAGTAGTTCCCAAACATTGTTACATATTAGACTCACCTCAGAAGATATTAAAAATTGCAATCTGCTTTCCACTTCCTATATTAATTAAATCACAAGGTGAAAGTAGGAGCTAAGTATCAGTATTTCTTAATGATCCCTAGTTACTTCCAATGTGCAACAAAGTTTGTGAACTAATGGCCCACTTTAAATAGTTAAAGAACCTAGGGAATGCTCACATTGGTTTAATACTGGAAAGCAGAAAACTATGAAACCTGAAATGTTATGTGATAAAGAAACTTGTTACTGATATCAGGAAAGTAACTTTTTTCTCTGAACAAGGAACTGTAAGAGAAAGTGCTTGATATTTAGAAGAAATTTGGGGCAGGCACACATTTTTCTGTGACCACTGCACTAGAAAATTATATTTTCATATTATCATTTTTACCAATATTTATATGCTTTGGTTAGAGGTATGTCTGGAAAATAAAATATTAAATAAAATACATATAAAATATTTTGTGGTGTTTTACGTGATACTTATTATAGAAGATAATGCTTTCCTTTGAACTACATTGGAATTTACTCACTTCACTATAACTAATAGTAATAATTAAGGAATTATAATTTTAATTTCTATTTTCCAGTGAGCTTTCTTTTAAAGTGTCAGCTGTCCTCTGAACTCTCAAAAATACGCACAATTCTTCTTGACAAACTCACATAAGAGATGTTGATACGATTAATTACCTAATGATTATTAATTGCCTGATGTTTATTAGTAAGTTCTAAGAATGTTTTTCATTTCTGAAATGTTACGCTTTTTTTTGCTTAAGGCAATTATTGTATTGCCTTGTTATTTGAAGACAAAATTTCCAAAATCCTTTCTTTGTCTTTGACTTATTTCACCAGTTCAGGTAGAAAACAAGCAAGCAAGATAAAACTTATCAAAAATACTTTGAGAATAAGCTGTGCACATGTATTTAAGAATATTAAGTGTTCTAAAATCATTAAAAATAAGTATGTAATGAGCATCTATCTATCAATCTATCAATCATCTATTCAGGATAGCTATTCCTAAATTTAGCCAAAGGGAGAACATACAGAGGAACATTATTCATCTATCTGAACCAGTCTTTAACATAAACATAGTTATTTGCTGTGACCTCTAAGTTTCCCCACCATTTTACTAAACTTTACATAGGTTTTTCTAATTACAAACTCTTGACTTCCCTTAGAGCAGTAATGTTAGAAAACTCACAATTATAAATAGTGATTCCTTTGACAATTTGATGGAGCACCAGGACTTGAGTTTTAAGAATTACTGAATACCTAATTTTTAGCAGATAAGTTGCAAGTCTGTGTTAGCCAAATTATTGTCATTTTTCATTTTTACTACTTCATAAAATTTTCAGATTTTTTCTTTGTCTTTCTATATCAAATTTACATTTTTAGGGTTACCCTAAAAATATACAGTTTTCTTATTAGAATGGCTCTAAACAAATTGATTTTTCACATTGTTTTCTTTTTCTTTCTTCTGTCTCTACACACACACACACACACACACACACACACACACACAGGCACACACACAGAGAGAGAGAGAGAGAGAGAGAGAGAGAGAGAGATAAATACAAAGCAGTAGCTAAAGGTCCTTGGGTGGAAGTCTAGGAAACACTGGTGATTTACAAAATTACATTTATGTCTGTAATGCACATTTTCATTACAGTTTCCAGTTTCTAGAAAATAACATTATTCAATAGAAAGACTTACCATGTAGACTATATGGTTTCAACTTCATAGATCCTCACCTTTTTTGTCACCCTCTCATGACTGAGACACAATACCTAACACCCACAATTTAAATGAGGAGAGATTTATTTTGGATTTCCTTGGCAGATGTTTCATGTTTCTGGTTTAGGAGTCTCCACTGCCCTTTTGGCTTCACTCTCACTATTCCATGCACTACCCTATCAGGAGCACACTTCTTGGCCTCCCAGACCTTCTTCAGAAATGAATGTGAAAGTGCCTGCTACCTCATAACTCTTGCATTCTGTGTGCCTATAAAACCAGCACCATATGGATGATGCCACAGTCTGCTGCCAGTTTGAGCAGTAGCCAGGCCCCCTTGGGTCATGCATACTGAAGCCTCTGGGTGCTTACATGTCTCAGCACTGTGCACTGAATCCTGAGGAACAAATCCCCTATATGTCCCTTCTTGAGCTTGGCACCCTGGGCCTTTCTATTTAAAGCAAAGTCTTTCCAAGCAGTTTACTTTTACCTTTTTATACATTTGAATCTGTGAAAGGCTGGTTTCTGGAGATTCCTGCCTGATACGCTCTCAAGACATATTTTCTTATTGTCCTGAAGCTAAGTTCTTGGCTTCTGTTTCATGCTAAACTTTTCGGCAGCCAAGCTCTCCAAAATCCTCATTTCTCAAAGTGCTTACTTTTTGATGAAACTGCAGATATTTTAAATCATTTAACCCTGATATTTGCTCCTGATTCTCACTGTAGACCTTGAAGAAAACGCAAGCAGAATGCATGCTATCCCTGTACTGTGGACTATCTTTCTAATTTCTTCTGTTGGATTAATTAGTTCATGGTCCTTAGTCTCAGTCTCAGGAAAAATCAGGACACAGGCAAAATGTAGACAAATTTTCTGCCAGTACATAACACACATAGCCTCGAATCCAAATACCAATGTATTCTTTTTGTTTTCCTAATGGAAACCCGAGCCTGGCCTTTACTGTCTGCGATTGAATGAGTATTCTGTCCTTCTGAGCTGTGACTAGAATCTTCCAGCGAGCTTAGGTTATGGCATTCTAGAGCTTCTCTAGGTAGCATTTTCATACCATTCAAAACTCCTCAATACCCATCACTTAAAGAAGAAGAGGTTTCTTTTAGTTCACATTTTCAGTACATGGTCTGCTGGCTCCAAGGCAATAACAGGACATGGGAAGGAACTGCCATAGGAAGAACCTGCCACAGAAGAAAGCTGCCCATGTCATGGTGGTCAGGAAACAGAGAGAAAAGGGAAGCTCCAAACCAGGACCCATTTCCTAACAAGAAAACAGCTATGAAATCATCAGTGAACTAACCCAATGATAAGTACAGTGTCTTCATGATCCAATCACCTTCTCAACACATGAGGATTTAGAGGCTCACCCCAGATCTAGAGCATAACATTCACAAAGACCATTTTAGCATTGAATATAATTTTGTGTTTGTAATTTTACATTATTTCTCTTAAAGATGCTTCCCCAAATGATATTAGTTACAATGTATACAAAACTTGGTTTCGCTACTTTTTACTACATCACCACATCTATAGCTATAGACACAAAACAACATTTTTCGTTTCAGAAGATGCTTCCTTTTTCGGTGCTCCTAAAGATGTCTCCCTGGTTTTCCTTAACTGAATTTTACTGTCTTTGTTTTATAACATTATAATATAATAATTTGGAACTTACTATCTTTGTGTAAGGAAATAAATGAATGAAACCTCAAATGCTAACATCTACAGTGGCATTTCAATTTTAAACTAAATATGCATAATATTTTCTTCTGTAAGTGAATTATCATTTTCATATAACCATGAAAGATAAAATTTTCATAATCTCCCTTGGAGATTTCTTTTTGAAGCCATGTACAAAATATTAAGTGAGAATTCTAACGGAAGTATTCTTCTGTCTTCAGATTTTTAAAGATTTCAAAAACAGGAAGTAAGTATAATGCCATTGCCATCAGTTTATCTGGTGTAATATCCAGTTAGAAAGGCATCATTAACTTATCTTAATGTAGATTGAAGACTGATACCACAAAAGCCTCAAATTCCAAAGTACCTAAATTTCTTGATCACTGCCTGGCACAGATACGTGAAATTCCATCTTCATGGGCATTTTTCAGCCCCTGTGACATAATTTAACTTTATCTGAGACCTCTTTAAACTGTTTTTTCTAACCTATTTTCAACTGTCACTATCTGTTAGAAGAACAAACATTTCAACTATTATACACTAAAGTTCTAAGGAACAGAATTTGATTTATCACATTACTACTCACACTCCAATACAAAGGGTGCTAATTCCACTGAAATGAGTGCAGTGTGGCCCTTTGCTAAATAAATTAAAGGGTAGAATTTTTGAAACATTTTCTCATTTCAGGTATAACTACTACACAGATTTTAAAAGCTGCCTCAGAGGAGGACTCCTTTGCACCATAGAAGAGGAGCGGTACTGCCAAGCATAGTAGCATACACCTATAATTCCAGCACTCTGAGAGGCTGAGGCAAGAGAATTTCAAGTTCCAGTCAAGCCTGGGCAACTTAGTGAGACCCTGTCTCAGGAAGAAAAATTTTTAAAAGGTTGAATTTGTAGCTCAGAGCATAGACCATGGCTTCATAATAACTTTATAAATTCAACCAAGTTTCACTTATTTGTGAAGGATATTATTATTAAAATATTTTCCCTCAAGTTTATAGAACTCTCCACAGACTAAAAGTGTGACAGCAAGCAGACTTCTGTGACCTTACAATAATTCTTATTTTTGTTTGGATACTTAAATGATGTATACACACATGTATAGATTCTATATATTGTGAAGGCTGAATAATGCCTATCAGAAAATACTCACTTCATAATCCCTGCAACTTGTGAATGTTATAGTGTTAAACAGTATTTTACTGAAGTGATTAAAGATTGAGGTAGCAAGATTCTTCGAGACTAAATAAATATATATTTTTCACCAAAATATATCTAAATATTATTCAAGTAAAATAATTTGCCTAGGTTTTCAAAGGTATCTTCTACTTGTAGATCTGAATGTATTTTCATCTGGTGAAAGTTTTAAGATATATTACTTTGTTATTTTTGCTTTGTCTACTGTCTTCATCGTCTTTAATCCTTTTACAACTGAGTCAGATTATTTAAATCTGTCCCACTTTAGCCTTACTTTAATTTCTCTATATTCCATTTTCAGAAATATCTACCTTTGAAAAAATTTCTTTCCAGAGTTCACTGTTCTCAAATTTGTCTTCAATATCTAACCCATTATTATTATAATCTTTTTTAATTTTATAATTTGTGGTTTACATTCTACCTAGATTTTTATTTCAATTGATTCTCACTTCATCTCTATTTCAACTTCATAGAAGCAAAGGAAGTCCTTAATCTTTGAAAATAAATTATTATTATGTATGCACAAGTATTCTAAAAATACCTTGTGTTTTGCACAATAAGAATTTCAGAAATGGGGTATCTTCATATATAGTAATTTCTTTTATACAAATTATGTTCTCATAGTCACATGCTAACACATGGTTATATTTTATAAATGTTAGAGTAAATTTTGGTAAAAATTAGTGAGGATTCCTGGTTGAAATTTTTGGATTCTGAATAGTAAAGAAAAAAAAGACCAATTTTATTTAATATAAGTAACATAGCAATGTGGAACTCTAGCATTTTGCAGGATCTAAGGGGACTTTCTCAAGTAGGGCTATGCCATAAAAGACGTGCTTATCT